AGGATTGTGTTGGTGGAAGGGGAGAAAATGAAACCAGGGAGTGATAAAGGGCCATTGGTTTTATATGTCCCATTTTCTTTAAACACTTGATAAATATATCAAGAAGTATAGGTATAATATTCCTGCCCATGTTTTATCTACTTGCTGAAAATTTAATATTGAAAAAGAATTTCTGAATAAGCAGTAAGTCAAAGATGAAATCAAAAGAGTAATTTTAACAGCGCTTGTGGCACTGGGCCACAAAACCTGGCAGCACACACCTTTAATCCCAGCACTGGGGAAACAGAGTCAAGCAGATCGCTGTAAAATGAAAGCCTGCCAGGTCTATATATCGCGTTCCAGGCCGGCTGGGGCTACAAGAAGACCCTGTCTCAAAAGAAAAAGAAAAAGACTTTGTGGCACAAGTCCGTGAAGCAGGAGGACAGCCTGAGCTACTGGGTAAGACTCATCTCAAAACAAGCAAATAAAATTCATTTGATCTTGAGCTTTCCTTGTTGAAAGTTTTCAATTACTTCTTCGGTCTTTTTGTTATTGATCTGTTCAAATTTTTTAATTTCTTCATGATTCAGTCTTGGAAAGCTGGTTGGTTTTTTTTCTAGGTACTTACCCATTTTCTTTAGGTAATCTGAGTTTTGGGAAATCATATATATCAGTTAAAGGGAAAATCTTCTACATAGCAAAGGAAACAGTCAACAATACAAAAAGGCAATCCATGGAGATGACATATCTGAAAAGTGGTTAATAGCTAAGATATTTACTAAGAACTCTTTTTTTAAATATTTTATTATTTTTATTTTATGTGTATGAGTGTATTGTCTGCATGTATTTGAGTGCACCCGTGTCATGCAGTGCCATGGAGGTCAGAAGAGGGCTTTGGATTCCCCTGGAACTGGTGCTAAAGAGAGTTCTTACCCACCATGTGAGTGCTGGGAATCAAACCCGGGTCCTCTGCAAGAGCAGTCAGTGCTCTTAACCACTGAGCCATCTCTCCAGCCCCTATAAAGAACTCTTATGGGCTGAGAATAGAGATCAGTTGGAAGACTGCTTGCCTAACATCCACAAGGCCTGGGGTTCAATTCCTAGTGTCACATAAATCCAGTGTGGTGGCATGCCTGTAATCCCAGCTTTCAGGAAGTGGAGGCAATGAAATCAGAAGTTCAAGGTCATCCTTGGCTACATGAAACCATTGCAGAAAGAAAGGAGAAGAGGAGGAGGAGGAGGAGGAGGAGGAAGAAGAGGGGGGGAGGAGGGGGAGGAAAAAGGAAGAGGAAGAGAAAGAAGGAGGAGGAAGAGGAGTTGAATAAGAAAAAGAAAGAAGAAAAGAAGAATTCTTATACTAGCTGAAAAACATCTGGATTTTTTAAATAAATATGCAAGGGGCCTGAACAGACATTTCTACATTTAAGACTTAATCTCTTAATAACCATCATTATATGTAATAACCATCAGGTATATTGAAAAGCTCAACATCACTAATGCAATATTATCACTATGGGATACTATTTCATACCTTTGAGACTGCTGTTTTCAAAAAAGACCATACATTGCCAAAGGTATATAGGACTGGACTGTAGAATGTAATGTTGATGGGAATGTTGGTGGGAACTATCTCCATCCTCCCTTCCCCTAGCACTGAGATTACAGGCTAGTTTCATCTTACCTGGCTGTCAGTGGATAATGGAGATCCAAACTCAGGTCCTCATGTTTGAGCAACAGGCAGTTTGCTGACTGACCCATCTCCCCAGGTCTCTACTCCTTTCCTGCCTTTTTGCTCCACTTCACTTCTCCTTCCATCTCTTCTCCTTCTGTCTTGAGAGGCATGAGTAGCCAGAGCTGCTTTAGGGGAAGAACGTGCCAACTACAAAGCCTTACCTCTACTGTCCCTCACAGAAGACTTCCTCCAAACATTGGAGTCTGCTTGTTAGAAGAAAACAAATTTCCAGCATTTGTACACTGGATACATTAAACAGTTAGTAGAAATTTTGCTTATACATGGAAGTTCTATTGATGCTAGCTGGCCAGCAAATTACCACTGAGCCTAAAGAAGTGAAAAAGAGGGCCAGATAGATGGTTCAAGTTGGTAAGAGCACTTGCTGCCCAAACATGAGTTTGGATCCCCACACCCATGTAAAAGCTGGGTGTTGCAGCTTACACTGATAACCTCAGTACCAGGGGTGGAGATAGAAGAGTGAGGGGAGAGGAGACAGCAGGCTCATTGGTCACCCAGTCTAGCCAGTTGGTGAGCTCCAGGTTCAAGAAGACACTGTCTCAAAAACTAAGATGGAGGGGCTGCAGACATGGCTCAGTGGTTAAAAGCACTGGCTGCTCTTACAGAGGACATAGGTTCAATTCCCAGCACCCACGTGGTGGCTTACAACTCTCTGTAACTCCAGTTTCAGGGGAATCCAATGCCCTCTTCTAACGTCTGCAGGCATTGAGTGACATAAGTGTACTTACATGCAGGAAATATACTCATACACATAAAATAAAATTAACAGATAAAAATTTTAAATATTAAATAATATAATTAAATTTGTTCTTAACTTTTTTAATAGAATCATATATTTGGAATATTACTTGTAATATGATGATTATTTCTAGCACCTTTTATTATTAGATGTCTCTCTATGATAGAATTCTCACCCCATAGGTACCACCTATGATAGACTCAGAAATTCTACATAACTATATGTAAAAGATTCAAATTTTAAGGCTTGAACTGGGGGAGGAAATCGGTCAGTACTGTAAGAGAATGCAAAGGGTCAGCTCTCCATAATAAGTCCTAGAGATCTACCATACTAAATAGTGCCTATAGTGAACAGAGCTATCCTGTGCTTTTAAAATGTTGCTAAAAGGCTATATCTTAAGTGTTCTTACCGTACATAATAAAGAGGACAAGAGGAAAGTTTGGGCAGTGATGGATGTGTTTATGGCATAGATTGTGATAATGGTTTCACAAGAGTGTACTTACCTCTGCGTTTAGCAAGCTGTATACATTAAATATATATAGCTTTTTGTTTGTCAATCATACTTTAATAAGGTGGAGCTGTTTTTAAACCTTTTTTGAATTATACATTTAGTATGCTAAAAATTTCAGACAATCTAAATGGATATTAAATGAAAAAGCTCTTATACACTGTGTCCAAGTCCAGCTCCCCAGAGATCCATTACAAAAAAATTCCCACACTCCTAGATGTCCCACACAGACAAAGAATGCAGTAAAAGAACTTCTTAATTCTTTTCCTTAGAAATGGGTTTCCAAGTTTCTGGAGGGTTTTGTCCAGACTTGGTATATAGTACAGTTTTCTATTTCAGTCCAAAGCTATAATGCAAAATCTTCAGACTTGGCATCAAATTTAAACCAAATCACAAGAACAAGACCTCAAGGCTGGGAAAACAGATCAGTGGGTAAAGTGCTTTCCTTGCAAGCACAAGGACCCAAGTTCAATCCCCAGAGCCTACATTTAAAAAGAGTCAGATATGACTATGCACATGTATATTTGTAATCCCAGCACTGGGGAAGTGGAGTCGGGTGGATCCCTGGGACTTGTTGGCCAGTCAGCCTAGACTATTTGGCGAATTCCAGGCCAGTGCGAGACTATGTCTGAGAAAAATCAAGGTGGACAGCACCTGAGGAATGACAGCCAAGGTTGTTTTCTGACTTCCACAATACATATAAACACATGCGCATCTGTACAGACCAGCAGACACACATAGAGACACACACATGCACATACACAGAGACAAAAACTTCAAGGGAACTACAATAAAGAGAACAAAGATGTGTCTTCCACTAAAATTTTTGAAGAAAGTCAGGAGAGAATAGAGTCCATGTAATAAGTTTCAAGGCTTGAGACTTTTACAACAGATAGAAACAAGCATATGACATGTAACTAGTATGTGATATTGTGTTAGGAAAGGAGAGCAACTGCATGTAGATAATAATTTTGGCCAAAAGTAAATGAAATCTAAAATAAATTGATTTATATATACATATATATGATTGATATATATATATACCCACACATATATATGCACACAAACACATATATATATGCACACACATATATGCACACATATATACACACACATATATATGCACACACACATATATGCACACATACACATATATACACACACACATATATACACACACATATGCACACACACATATATATGCACACACACACACATACATATATATATTCACACACATATATATGCACACACACATATATATGCATACACACATATATATGCACACACACATATATATGCACACACACATACATATATATGCACACACATTTAACCACTCAACTAGCTCTCCAGCCCCGAGTCAAGTGTGTGTGTGTATCACACACACACACACACACATACATACACACACACACATATATATGCACACACACATATATATGCACACACACATATATATAAGCACACACACACACACACATATATATATATATGCACACTCATACTTGGCTGGGGATGAATAGCAGAGGTAGATTACTTGCCTAGCATATGGAAAGGTCTTGGTTCAATCTCCAGAACCACAAAACAAGTCCATACCTACAATTGTTACTTTCTTCACTGATCTAAAAATTTAGCCAGAGTTGAAGTACTGTAAGATGTTACCTACTTAATCTATTTTTTAATCAGCCTTGTTGACATAATATTGGTAAAAATTTCAGATAAAAGTTTCATTAAGAGCTGGGCATGGTGGTATATGCCTTTAATCCCAGCAATCTAGAGGCAGAGGCAGGCAAATCTCTGTGAGATTGAGGTCAGCCTCGTCTACATAGAAATTCCAGGCCATTTGTGGTTACAGGTAGACCCTGTCTCAAGACGACAAAAAAAAAAAAAACCTCAAGAATGTGATGTCATCAGCCCAACGCGTTTAGTATTTCTCTGAACAGAGATTTATCATACTCTTTCCCCCCTTAAACTCATAATTGTGAACCACTCATAAAGAAAATGTCTCCTTTGTCTTTTAGGCCCTTCTGACCTATAAGACTGACCCAGCCATGAGAAAAATGTTGAATCATCTGTATTTCTACATTATGCCCGTGTTTAATGTTGATGGATACCATTTCAGCTGGACTCATGTAAGTTGCTCTTCCTATCCAATGAAAAGGGGACTGAGCAAGTTAGAACACAGTGATGAGCCAGGAAAGGAGTTTGCTGGCCAGCCCACTAAGGAATTTCAGAAATGCAAGAGGCCTTAGCTTTATCCTCAGTCAGAGCACCAGTCTTTTAGATTTTGTTTGTGTAGTTTGCTTTTGCTTAAGATTTCACAGAAAAAAAGATTTCTCCTTCCCAATAAATTATGAAAAATCACTCATTTCTCCTAACCCATTCAATTTTGCCTATAAAGAAATAAGGCCAAGGGGTATAGGAAAGGGTAATAGAGAGCAGGGGTTAAAAATGGCCAAAATATATTACATACATGTATGAAATTACCAAAGGAAAAAAAATGAGGCAAACAGACATCAGAGATAGAACAATGGTGGCAGAAAGCAGAGCATAAGGCTGGATCTCCAGGGCTATTCCAGGCCTCTGTCTTCTCTCAGGCTGGTCTGTGCATGGAGAAACTCACCCTACAGTGACTTTACTGACTGAGCAACTAAAATGCATGTGAATATTCTTTTATGATGTTTAACTATCAATTTTTTGATGTTTTAATTATTAATTTGATGCAACCTGGAATCACCTGGAAAGGGTCTTAATGAGGAATTATTTAGATCAGGTTGGCCAGGGAGCATGTCTGTTAGGGGTTGTCCTTGCTTGTGAATATAAGAAACCCAGACCATTGTGGGTGGCACTGTTTCATGGGCTGGGCCATGGAGTATGTAAGAGAAGAGAAAGCTGGCTGCATACTAAGCAGGCAAGCAAGAATACCTTTATTCTCTCTCTTCTCTGTGGATGTAATGTGACTCACTGCTTGACTTTCTGCCTTGACTTCCCTGAAATGATGGGCCTCAGATCTGAAATTGTGAACCAAAAAAACCCCTTTATCCTCAAAGTTGTCTTTCGTCTGGGCATTTTATCACAGCAACAGAAATAAAACTAGAACACCTTTTACATATTTTTCTCTCTGCCTGTTTGTTTTGATTGTGTCTAGGATCGATTCTGGAGAAAAACAAGGTCAAGGAACTCTAGGTTTCGCTGCCGTGGAGTTGATGCCAATCGCAACTGGAAAGTGAAATGGTGTGGTAAGTGTGGACTGATTGGGACTCAGAACCAAAGACCCCACAGGTACCACTCTGCAAAATGAGAGCCAGGCAGGACTCTAGCAGGAGACTGATGCTTTTATGTATGTGAAAACCTAATAAAGACATGGATAAAGGCTGGAGGGACAGCTTTGATGGGGAGCATTTGTCTAGCATATGTGAGGCTCTGGGTTGGTTCTCAAGCACAATAAACAAACAAGCAAACAAGTAAATAAATAAATGAAATGGAAAAAAAGGAAAGAAAGGCATGGGTAGGTATGTTATAGCTATAATTTACAAAAGAAAATGAAAGAGTACTTTTTTAATATATAAAAAAGTTCAAAGACTTAACTCTGTCAACCTAATCCTGAAAGCTGAAAAGTTAAACACAGATGTAAGAGCAGAAAACTGAGGAATACTTGCCATTCATGAAGCTAAAACGGGAACCCATGGTTTGTGGTATAAACCTGGTTCATTGTTTTCATACTTCTCATCAGATCAACACTGACCCTGATTCCATCCGTCTGTAGTGTAGTGGCCAAAGCTGGCCTGTCTATGGCTAGATTCTATCAACCTGTCAACCATGCCTTTATTGGGCATTCACACCAGAAATGGATTCCTCTGCATTCATTCAATACTTACTTTTCATGTAGACAGAGAGTGTTGTTTTAAGAAAGGATGCTTTTCACAGAATAAAGAGGCAGGCAGGTATTGGGGTGGAGAGGGATAGAAAACCCATTAGTTAGTATACTTGCAGCAAAAACAGGAGAAGAATTGTGAAAATGGCATTGTACTGCACTCTTCCTGTGCAGAATCGGTAATTAACTCTTTTAAAATAGAGACCATTGAAATTCCCTCATTCTACCATGATTTGGAGCTGTATTAACTGCCACTACCCCCATCCACCAGTGTCAGAATAACAGTGTGGGCTCGGACGCTTCCATGGGTCCTTCCAGGTACCAGACCTCAATCAGTCAGAACCGGTGAATAAGAACATAGAATAGCTGAAAAAACATATAACCCCAAATTATTACAGACATGGTTGGATTCTGCTCAGTGATTTATATGATTTTCTTTAATGTGTGAAATTATCCTATTTCATGAGATTCTTGCAGGGTTTAAAGAACTTATACATATAGAATGCCCAAGCCACTTCCAAGCTCCATACAGTGATCCAAATACCAGTGACCCTCTTTCCCTACATGTTGAATGGAGTCAATTAGCCTCTGAACAAGCCAACTGGTGAAACAGCTTCATTTCTTCATGTGATAATGAGAAATCATATTAATGTATGAGTGCTTAAATTTATGGGGAAGAGGAAGCACCACATGAGTACTATGTACTATTATACATGACTTTTAATATTTAGAAATTCTTTCCTCCAAACTAGACTAAGATAATATGTTCATATAACCTCTCTGTCTGAGTGTTTGCACCCTCCTTCCAAACTTAACCTTCAGTGCAGTAGCATTAAGAGAAGGGGCCTTTTGGAGGTGAATATTACATCATGAGGACAGAACCTCAGTAACAGAATAGTGCCCTTATAAAAGAGGTCAAGGGAGCTTGATTCCCCTCCTACCATGTGAAGACAGCTATAAGGCTGCATCTGTGAGTAAAGGAGTCCTCACCAGATGTTGAAATGTCTGACACCTTGATCTTGAACTTTCTCCCCTCCAGGACTTTGAGCAATAAATTTCTGTTGTTTATAAATTATCCAATTTAGGGTATTTTGCTATAACAACCAAAATATACTAAGATACTCCTTTAATCCACTGATTATTTTTAAAGATTTATTTATTGGTGTGTCTCTGTCTGTGTTTGCACATATGTGTGTGAGTGTACACTCCTAGGTGCACAATGAGGCTAGAAGAGGACACTGGATGTCTTTCTAACTCTCCCCCTAGTCCTTTGAGGCAGGGTCTCTCCATGAAGCTGGAGTTCGTGTTTTCTTGGCTAGGCTGGAAGCTAGCAAACCCCAGCAATCCCTCTCCACTCTTCTTGGAACTGGGCTCCTCACATGGGTGCTGGAATCTGAACTCTGGTCCTCATAACTGCTCAGCAAGTCAAGTGCTCTTAACTGCTTAGCCATTTCTCCAGCCTCCACTATTTTTTAAAATTCCATTTTCTTTGTGGGGGAAGGGAGACATTATCACTGTCACAATTACATGGGTGTTTCACTAATTACCAAGTTCCTGCATCCATGTGTATATCAGTCACATGCCACAATCATCTCATTAGAACAGACAGAATGGAAAACTGAGCTGAGTAACCATAGCAGGCAGCCAGCTCTGCCTGTGTAAAGTTAGACTGCTGTTTATATCCAGTTACAGGGACGTGCCTTGCTGCTCTTTGTTCTTTCCTAACCCAGCATGTTTCCTTCGTGCATATTCCTTCTTTGATTTCTGAGTTTCCATAGCAGTCCCTACTAGACGTCCTTTGATTTTCCACATTTTTGAATCATTCAAATTTTTCCTGTGATTTAACACTCAGGACATACAAAAGATTATGTCGAACTTCACTTGCAAAAAGACCTTGAAAAGACAAGTAAGTATAAGAGGTGTGCAAATTCAGGCAGCCTATCTAGGACCATTTATCAGCCCTGGGTCTCCACAGTGAATTCACTTGTTCTGATGGACAAGCACATGGGGTCTGCCTCCCTCACAGCTTCAGGTCTACCCCCACAACTGTGTGCATGGTCAGTGAGACAGTGAACCATGCTGAGGGAGCCACTGTTAGATCAGGGATGTTAAGGAAGCACGAGTTCCCCTGAGTAAGCTCCAAATGAACACCCATAACTCAAATGCCCAGGACCAGTGAAAACAGTAGAGTCAACATCGAACTAAAAATACAAGTGTTTCTTTTTCCTTAAGTCAGTGAGTCTCAGACATAAAGAACAGAACATAAAACTGCTTCTTACTGTGGAAACCCTGAAGAACCCCATATGGCAGTAGTGTGGAACAGTCCCATATGAAGAATCCCATATGGCACTGGTGTGGAACAAACAGCTTAGAGCAAACATGTGGAGCAGGTATTAGTCACTTTTCTGTTGCTGTGATAGAAACACTGACCCAAGCAACTTATAGAAGGAAGAATTTATTTGAGCTTACAGTTCCAGGGGAGTTACAGTCCATCATGGCAGGTAGGCATGGTGGCTGGAGGTGGCTGGAGCAGGAGCAGCAGAAGCTAAACTCTCACATCATCACATAGGCACAGGAAGCATGAGCTTGACTGGAGATCTGACAAAGCTTAAGCATTCTCTAAGCCCAACCCCAGTGACGTGCTTCCTCCAGGATAGCCACACCTTCTAAAGCCTCCCAAAACATCGCCATCATCTGGGGACAAAATGTTCAAATACTTGAAGCCTATGGGGGACATTTTCATTCAAACCACCACACCTTTCCAGTACTGCACAGCTCCCTAGGGGCACCTTCAAGCCACAAAATGAATACTGTGGCTCTGAAAGTCCAGCAAAGGACACAAGTCAGAGCAGTGCTACAAACTGGGAGTAAATACGTGCATTTTATTCATGCGTTTGCCAAAGTTAATTGGGCAGGTTACTTTCTGCTAATCACTGTGCGTTTTTCTTTCTTCTCTCTTTGGACTGTACTGTGAGCACTGGTCTTTCTAAATTGGAACAAATCCAGAGGAAAGGCAAAGCTTAGACCCCAGAACACCCAAGAGTTCCTAAACTTTACTATTTAGAAAAACTTACAGAATAGAACATGTTTTCAAATTTTATTTCTAACAAGGAACTTGTGTATATAATACAGAGACTTGTGACTATAATATAGCAACTTGTATCTATAATAAATAGATTCACATATATAATACAGGGACTTGTGTCTATAATATAGGGACTTGCATTTATAATACAAAGACTTGTATCTATAAGGTAGGAGCTTGTATCTATAATACAGGGACTCATATATCTAATAAAGGGATATATCTATAATATAGGAACATATCTATATTTTGTATCAAAATATAAAAGAGCTCTCTCTGCTCAACAATGAGACAAGCCAATTTTTAAAAACCTACAAAAGGGACTGGAGAGATAGCTCAGAGGTTAAGAGCACCAATTGTTCTTGCAGAGGACAGGGGTTCCATTCCCAGTACCCACGTGGTGGCTAACAACTGTCTGTAACTCCAGTTCCAGGTGATCTGATACCCTCTTCTGACCTCCATGGTCATTGCATGACATAGGTGCACTTACATACACTCATACAGATGAAATAATAATCATAAATAAAATATTAAAAAACACAGAAAAAGATTTAAACAGGTATTTCTTCAAAGGTTCTCAAAGGAAATAAATACCTCAATAGATGCTCAATAACACTTATCAAAAATACAGCAGGATACAGCCTCATACCCACTAAGATGATTATAATGAAATAGTAATACATGTTGGTGAGAGTAGAAAAAATCTTGGAAGACTCAAACCTGCTTGTGAGCTGTGAAATGAGTCACAGCTTGGTGATTCCTCAGAAATTAGGCATCTAACTCCGTATGACATAGCAATTCTGCTCCTACATAAATACTCAAGAGAAATGAAAATGTTCGTTACATAATGACCTGCAAGTAAATGTTCATAACAGTAGTACTGGCAGTAGCCAAAACGGGTAAAAGCCTAATCTCTAGCAACTAATGACTGGATAACCAAAATACTGCCAGGGAGGAGGGAAGTACTCCCTGTGAGCATTCTTGAGTGTAGCTGGGACAGACTCCTGTAACAAAGGACAGATTAATAAAAGGAATTCAAGCACGTTTATCAGCACAAGAGGCTCACATTGCACAGAAGAAATGCCAAGCAAAAGTAACTCAGAACAGTGGCTTAGAACTCCAGTTCATGCAGCACCACCCACCAAGAACAATATATTTTAGAGAAGTACTACCATGGATGTTAAGCTAGCAGCATGTTAAGTGTCATAAGTGAGAAATGAACACGTTTTCTCTCATATGCAGAATATACATATATATACATATACATACATATATATACA